ACGTTACGTTACGTTACTTACGTTACGTTACGTTACTTACGTTACGTTACGTTACGTTACGTTACGTTACGTTACGTTCGTTACGTTACGTTCTCTCTCTCCTCTCTCTCTCTCTCTCTCTCTCTCTCTCTCTCTCTCTCTCTCTCTCTCTCTCTCTCTCTCTCTCTCTCTCTCACACACACGCACACACACGCACACACACACACACACACACACACACACACGCACACACACACACACACACATGGGGAATGATTTTATGTCACCATGTCATTATAATATAGTGAAACCACACTTCTAGAAGACTGTGTGGATCTTTTCCCCAAAATTTCAACATGCAATCTCTTCATCCCAATAAGCAATCAACAAAAAAAAAAAAAAAAAACACCAGTTTGCATCTTAGATATGTTCAAAATGAGTGCCCCCTCCAACAATGAATCTAAACCGTCCATTTGATGAATTTTAAGATCTAGGCATTTAGGAATTCAAAATCTTTTTTTTTAGCATTGTTCATTTAATGATAACAAAGTCATCTTAAATTTGGAAAATTATAAAAAAATCCTTCTGACGCCTAGATCTAAGCATCTCACAAACTGGACAACCCATGTTAAAGTGGGTTAAAAAAAACACTTTTTAGAGTGTGTTTTCATTTTTTATTTTTTACTTTTTATTTTATTTTATTTTTGTGATTGTTCATCAAAATAAAAAGATTATATGTTTAAAAGTTGAGACCAAACAAATGATCTTAGCATGGTTTTTGAAGATTGTTTCATTATATTACTATAAAACCATTGCATGGAGTTATTATATATGTGTATGTGTGTGTTATATTTGTGAGTGTTCAGTTAATGTTATCAGGAGTAGAGTATCAGAATCTTGTATCAAATTAATATACTTTGCATGACATTGTTAGTTATACTTTTTTGAGGGATACTACCAAACAACAGATAATTCATTATCAGGATTAATTTTATCAGAACAAGTGAACTATTAGTGATGACAAGTCCATTCAAACAAAGCCATACATATGAGTGTGTGTGTGTTTGTGTGGAGAGTTCCCCTGGCTAAAATACTAGCAGTCCAACTTATGCAAATCAAATCATATGTCTGCACCATAATTCTCCCCAGTTTCCTTCTACCAGCAAAATTTTCCATACAGAAAAGAAAAAAAGAAAAAAAAACCACAAAGAGCAACCAGTGACCCTTACCACAATCATGTGAAACCGCAATGAAATCATTCACCAGAGGGTGATCAACAGGAAGAAGCAAAACCAATTTAATCTCTACATAGCCCTCCAAGACCTTCACCTCAGGAGGAAACCCTAGGTCCAACAAAACCCTTGGTACAGGAACCCTAAGGGAAACATCAACAAGGTGATTGCCATTATAGGAGGTCTCCTCTTCCTCTAACCACCGAACCAGCAAGGTCTGTAAACTATAAGCATTTGAATGGGATTTAAGGGTTTCTACAGTTGCAGTTATATTGGAGAAGTAGTGGGATTTTAGAGAGAGAGAGGGAGTGAAAAGGAAGAGGCGAAGAAAGGAGTTGTGACAGAAAGCTTCCCATGTAAACTGCCATTGGCACGGGTTTCTGAAAGACCCCATTTGAACTCGCGTTTGATGGAGGGTGAGAGTCGTGGAACGCATATTTCTACGAGTTGAACACCTGACCTAAATACCATTGCCTTTTGTCGAAAATGACCAATCTCACCTCGAATGTTCGATTTGCCTCGATGGACGGGTACGTTTAAGTACCGTGAAATAAGGAATTTTAGATTATAGGGAAATTTACAGGAAAAAATCTATTTTTAAAAAAAAAATAAAAAATAGACTCATATTCTTCGTATTTTATACTTGAGTCTCACTTCTTAAGTCATAAAGTGTATTTTATTTATTTTTTAATTTATAGTCATTGGATTAAGTTTAATTTGGTATGTCAATACATACTGCTATCACACTCCTATAAAAAGTACATTTAAAAATAGGAAAATTGTTTCAAGCGGGCTAGACCGTATGACTACATATACAGTCCAAAAAGTGTAAAGCATCCATCTTAAAGATGGATGTACGTGTTCCATCTAAAAACAATGGAAACTAAAGTTCCACTTGTTTTCTTACTAGAATTATTATTGCTAGGTATAAAATTTTACTCTTTTTTTCATATTCATGATCTCCATGTTAGATACTACATGTCTTTAAAAATTAAGTCCAAAAGTCTCTCTCAAAAATAGATTTATTAATAGGGCCGCATTTCTACAAATGCGGGCTTGGCCGCATAGAAGCCATGTCCTTAAAAATATGAGATGTGTCTCAATGATCTCTAAACAAAAACACAAAAAAAAGAGAGAAGATCATATACATTTATAGTATTTAGAGGCGCTTTTGTATTTTTATTTTTTGATTTATTGTTTTAATATTTTGATAGCGTGTAATGGTGAGAAGTATAAATGTACTAAATTTGAGTTCAATCCGATCTATAGAAAAAAGGCGTAAAATTAAAATAGAGTTACCATATGCTCTAAAAAAGTGGGTCTTAAAAATAATAAATATAAAATATATTGAACTATTTTTTAATTCTAAAAATAAAACTTTTTTTCTTTTTTGTAAAGTTTCGTTCTAAAATTCATGTATTTTGAAAGTTATAGATTTCTATTTTGGATTTATCAATTCTTTTCTCTAAAAACGAATTTAAAAGTTTGTATATTTCTTGTGGCCATTTCCATTTCCAATTTTATGTAATCAACAAGAATTCCAAATTAATGGTTGGACGCAGTGTTATGAGACTCAGTTGAGTAGCCCTCTCCTATTGGCGAGGTGAGTTGGTTGATTAATAGTTGGTCGCAGTGTTATGAGAATAGGCCGAATAACTCGATCTAGGCCGACTAACTCAGCCTCACCAAGGCGAGCGGTCGAGGCCACTCGGACTGACCCGAGTAACTCAGCCACTCCTATTGGTGAGGCGAGTAGGTTGTACAAGTTTATTTATATTAACACGTCATATGTAAGGTATACGAGGTTACTACAAACGTCATATGTATAATTAAGGTTCCAAGATTCTAACCCTAGTCTGCTTGGCAAGGCGGCCATCCAATGTCACACGATGCAACCAATACGCCATTAACTTTTTTAATTTTACATATTATGTTTTTTTCGTCATTAAAAAAAAAAAAAAATGAGCGGAACCCAAAAGAGTCACTTACTCTCGCCTAAATAAGTTGCTTCAGCCAAAGCCAGATTACCTTAACTGAGTCGATTTTCTAAATACTGCTTGGTCACTACTCACCTCTTCCATTTTTCTCACTATCCTATATTTTGGACTCTCTTCTCACTTAAAATCCCCGGTTCTTTCTCATCTTTTTCTCTCTATCCAACACCTCCCCTCTTTCTAGGAAAGGATTCCCTCTCTCTCCTCTACGTTTGTTGCCTCTTTCTAGTGTGCAAAAGAACCAACCATAGCTGCTTGTAGAAACCCCATTCCAAATCTAGCAAATTCTTTAGTTTTCTGAACCCTTAGGACTACACTTAATCTAATAAACCCAAATCTATAGTTGACATAGCCTACCTTATGATCCAAAATCAGTTTGCTTGCCCGGAACCTTGCAGAAACCCTGTTTTGACCCAGATTTCTATAAATGCCCTATTCTCCCAAAAATATCATTAAAAATGGTAAAAAAAATTGTTTTGACCCAAATTTTCTCTGAGAGCTTCACAAGAGGCAGAGGAACACATTTGAAAAGAAAAAAATAAAATTCGACAAGTTTTGCTTTGAGCAACATGGGGCATGCCTCCCAGACGATACAACCTGTGCCGCCCAAGCGATACAACCCATGCCGCCCAGGCGACACGCCCCATGCCTCCCAGGCGACACGACCCGTGCCACTCAGATCCGGGACCCTCAAACTTTGACTTTTTGACCGGGGATTTGCTTGTTACGCATACTTATCCTTACCAACGAGTTTGGACCACCGTAAGACCTATTTTTGTAGTCATTTGAAGGGATCGAGACTTCAGAGAGAAAAAAACCCTAAAGATAGAGATTGAAACCAGAGAGAGAATGAGAGAAACCCTAGAGAAAACCCTACCTTCCTAAGACTCTAACCCCAAAGCAAAAGAAAACTTAGACCTAGGGCACAACCACCCTAGATCTACCCTTAGGGCATAACCACCTTTCACCAACCAAAGTCTTGCTGGTGAATATCTGATTCATAGAGGCAAAAGAGGAGCGGTTCTGATATGGGAAAGCCTCAGAAGGCTCGAGAGTCCCGTACCATTTGGCCCTATTTGGTATCATTCTCAACACACTCTCTTTCTTCATTTCTTTATGGATTTATTTTGATTTGTTTTTTATTAATTCGCTCTGAAAATCATATTTTGATATCTTGGATCATGCTGGCTCCGCCTAAGATCTGAATTCGATTTGTCACACCTTCTCTACTACTTCATTTTCATCATTGTTAAGGTGTTAGATTCGAGAGATCTTCATTTCAAGATCTCTCTGATTTTTTAAGGGAAACAGCTTGGCGCCCATTGTGAGGCAATCGAGTGTGATCCGAGCATCAAAATTTCGAAAATCTCAAAATATTTTGAACTTTGTAGGCATGTTCTAGGTACCATTTTGTGACTGTTTCCAAAGTTTCAAGTCAAAATAAAATATTTAAAAATACAAAAGAATATTTTTCCTTTAGATCTTCAGTCCCTTCCTATTGCTTTATTTTAATTTATTTTCATCAAAAAAAAATTTATTTGCCGTTTCTCTAAGTTTACAGTAAGCTTATTTTATCAAGAGCTACAAGAAAAAAATATAAAAAAATATAAAAAAATAATTTTTTGGGCTGCACTAGACGTGCCGCCAAGGCAAAATGGACCGTGCCGCCTAGGTCCAGGGCGACACGCTCTCTGGTTCTCCCCGTCACCAAATTCATAATTTTTTGAAATGTTTCAAGCTAGGTCCTTGGTCTCTTTTGAGGCTACTTACAAAATTTCAGAGCAAAATAATTTTTTTAAAAATACCAAAAAATATTTTGCTTGATACAAGTTTGTTCTATCTATTGTTCTTCTATTTCACTTTGTTTAAATTTTATTTCATCAAAAGTTTGATTTTTCTATTTCTACAAGTTTTTGTAGCCTTACTTCTTCAAGGATAAAAATAAATAAATAAAAATATTTTTTTTGGGCGACATGACCCATGCCGCCCAACCTGTAGGTGCGACATGACCTATGCTGCCCTATCACAGAGGTCCCAAAAAATTCTTGGGACCCCACATAATGTTCCAGGGACTTTTGACTCCCTGTTGACCAAGTTTGACTTAAAATAAATTTTTTTAAAATATAAAAAAAATATTTTGCTTCAGATAAGTATGTCTTGCCCCTGACTTTTTCTTTTTTATTTTAGTTTATTAATTTTGGCTGAAACCATTTTTCCTTGCTTTCACCATGCTTAGTCTAACTGTATTTCATCAAAGTTAAAAAATAAAAAAAATATATACATCGAGGGCTACTTGCACCCTCTTTGAACCGTGTCCTGCTCGACTCGGCCGCGCTCGACTTAGCACGGACTGTGGTTGGTTTCATTGTTCTGACTTTACCTTCTTATGGTTGCTTACCCCTCCTCCATCTATATTGTGCTTCGAGCGAGTTTCGCATCGAAGCGCGCATCGCTAAGCACGATCAGTGCCGAGCGGCCACTTATTTTCTTTCTTTGCATTGTGTGTTTGTGTGCTTGACATTATTTTCATTTGCGTGCTTCTTTACACACTCTAGCACACACCGACCAGAAATCCCGGAAAACCAAAAAACAAATGTTTCAAAAACCCCCAAAATCTGTGTTAACAGCATGAGGGCAACCTAGCATTGAGAGCCGAGGTGGTTGGGATTCGCGTAACTTTAACTGTGA